AGATACCGAGAGAGAGAGAGAGAGAGAGAGAGAGAGAGAGAGAGAGTGTGTGTGTGTGTTTGTATACACGTATGGGTGTTCCCAGCGAACAGGTGGGGTCCCAGTGGAGAAGGAGGCCCCAGTGAGGAGGAGGGTCCTGAAAGGGGTTAGGCCTCTGGGAGGAGGAGGGTCCTGAGGAGGAGGGTCCCTGAGGAGGAGGGTCCCTGAGGAGGAGGGTCCCTGAGGGGTTAGGCCTCTGCGAGGAGGCGGCCCTCAATGCAGGTGCACAGGGCTTCTGGCTGCACAGTGCAGCGATGCTGGGTCTTCCCGCGGAGGTCAGTTGAGCCCCTTCGGTTTCTCTACAGCGAATTCCACAAGCCCTGAGAAGCCTTTGTCCTCAGCTCTGCCGAGGTCTGGGCTTCTTGTCGCTGTCAGACCCGGGCTTGTTCATGCTGTTCGGAAGATCCGGATAAAACGTTTCAGCCATTCAGAAATGAGGCGCTACTTAGGAGAGGGCAGACGGAGCGTCCCGTCAGGTTTTATGAGAGCGTTGTTTTTTCTTGTCAGCCTGTGAGGAGTGGGTAGGGGGCTCGGTCTGGCTTATTTAATAAAATTTAACAAGACTTACGATTTAAAGAAGATTAAAGTTTTCCATAGCATAATGAAGAGAAAGTGAGTCTCAGGTCTGTGTGAAACTCCCCCAGAAGTATTAGTTGAGGAGATCTGGCCCAGGTTCTTATTTCATTAAAGCCACACGTGGATTTCAGTGACGATTGAAATCTGCTTTCTGATGACATCATAGCCATGCACACCATCAGATGCCGTGTGTGCTTACACATCCCACTTCACACATCCCGCCGCAGTGGGGTCGCTGCTGGCTTCTGGAATCAGGGCTCCTGCAGCCTGTGGGGGACAGCTGGAGGCAACTGAGGCAGCTGGCCTGTGGGACTGAGCTACAGGGGCAGGCAGGAAGTTCCCTGGGGCTGCTTCCTGGGTTAAGTAGTGTGCTCTCAGTCTGTAGCTGATCCATGTTGGTTACCAGTGGTCAGAGCATGTCCTGATGGACCTGCATCCATCCTTCACTGGCTTCGATAGTGCTCAGTGGCTTTTGGTAAAACATGCAACTTTCAGGCTTGGTGTAGTGGTACACACCTGTAATTCCCAGCATGTGGGAGGTGGAGGCAGGAGGATCAGGGGTTGGAAGCCAGCCTGTCTTCGCTCCGCAGGGAATCTGAGGCCATCCTGGGCTACATGAAGTAACCCAAAAACAAAACAAAATTTGAGTGAATTTCAGAACTTCCTCTTCTACTGACCCTGACATTCCAACTGACCAGTGGAGCCATTTCTTTGTGGACTTGTGTTAATTGAGCTTGAAAATTAGCAAATGATTTATTGGCCAGTTTTGAAAGGCTGGATCTGTCAGTCTCAGGAGGTGATGACTTCATTCATGGTTTGCCTGTGGAGGAGGTGTGTTCACTGGTTCTGAGTATTTTGGGCCCACAGTGGAGTAGTACCACAGTGCAGGTGTTCCAACCCTAAGGCACGGACATAGGTATTTAGAGTTTAGTGTACATGCTGTGGGTTTCTTCCCAAAGGCTTCAGAGAGACACAAGGGGTAAAGCCCGCCCCCATTCCGTCTCCTGAGCTGGAAGTACCTGGGATGAGCCCAGGTGTGAAGGGCAAGTCACAGGCCCAAGCAGCTTAGCTGCTGGGTCTGGACAGCCTCGCTCTCGTCCAGCATTTTGGAGAAGTGTTCCGCCGGAAGGACTGTGGTCATTTCCTCCGGCTGGTGCAGCTCTTGTGTTTCTCCTGTGTTGGCTGTGGTGCTTCTGGGCCCAAAGAAAGGAGAGCCGATGCCTGGACAGTGTGTCCACATAGTACACAAATCCCACCATGGGTGCTCTGATGGGAGCTGGCACTGGCCAGCTTGGAGGGACCAGGCGGCCAGGTCCAGCAGGCTGTAGTGGCCATAGACAAAGTGAGAAGTCCCCCGTGTCTCTGCATGTGCGTGACAGGAGGATGACAGGAAACAGACCGTGTCTTGAGGGCACGAGTGATACTCTTGAAGACAGTTCACGGCGGCTCCGTATACAGTGAGTCAGTTCTGTGTAGTCCTGTGGACCCATGGTGCTCCTGTGAATGCCTGGGAGAAGGGAATGCAAAAAGGAAAAGACGGACAGAGGATGCGCACGGAAACGGGGGTTGGAAGGAGGTCTAAGAGGGGGACCCAAGGGAAACCTCCAGTACTGCCCAGGACTCAGCTCATTTACCCCAACCTCCTTGACTATGGCCTCACCCTTTCCACTCATTCCTCACTCTGCCACAGCACCCTCCGTGCAGTTCCTCAAAGATGCCCAGCATGGTTCCACCCCAGGGCCTCTGCACCTGCCATTTCCTCTGCTATCCCACTAATATGCATATGGTCCACTAATATGCACATGGTCCCATATCTCATTCTCCTCCTGCTCTCTGACCCCCTGCTTGACGTGATGGCCAGCACACACATCCTAACCCTCTGTTTCTATCTTCACATCTCATCACCTTCTGATCAGCTCTATAATCCATTTATTCAGTGAGTCCAGTCTTCCCCTGTGAGCATGTAAACTAGAGAGGGTCAGGGTTTTCCGCTGGTGACAGAAATGAAGAGCAGGCAGCCTGAGCTGATCCTTGCCCCGCTTGTCATGTGCGCCCAAGCACACGCCTCAGAGAGCACTGCTTTGCTGTGTCTGAGCAGCGAGGCCTGCCCTGGCCCGTCACCTGTCCGCTCTGTCTTCCAGGTGTGGAAGACCATGCTGAGATGGAGAGCAGCTGCAGAGGCTTCCTGGCCATGCTCCTCTTCCTGGCAGGACTGACAGGTAGGGACAGTGGGTGAGTGGACTGTTCACAATGTCCACAGCAGGGCAGGACAAAGGACCAAGCAGAGGAGGCAGCAGGGGAGGCTGGGAGGGACTCTTGGCTACAGGTCTGGCTCAGGGATTCTGGCTGCATCTCGGTCTCATGGCCACTCCTCCGTGGCTCCAGTCCCTGATGATATCTCTACTCCAGGAAGGTCCCTTTAGTGCCTCTGACTCTAGCACGGCCCCCACCAGGGCTATCCCTGGACCTTGGGGGAAGCTGTGGGTACCTGACTTTGTCCTATGAGTTGTTACACTTGCTGGGGTGTATCTCCCACTTGCTTTCCACCTCTTTGATCTCTTTATGGCTTTCAGGGAAGGCCTATGTTTTAGTTTGCCTTCTCTGTTGCTGTGATAAACACCATGACCTAAAGTAACTTGAGGAGGAAAGGCTTAATTTGGCTTGCAGTTTTCACCAACACTGAGGGAAGTCAGAACAGGAAGTCAAGGCAGGAACTGAAGCAGAGGCCATGGAGGAAACTGCTCACTGGCTTGCTCCCCCTGGCTGGCTCAGCTACCTTTCTAATATAGCCCAGGACCACCTGTCCAGGGATGGCACCACCCACAGTGGGCTGGGTCCTCCTACATCCATTAGCAATCAAGAAAATGCCTCACAGACATGCCCTCAGGACAGTCTGATGAGGGAAATTCCTCAATTGAGGTTCCTGCCTCCCAGGTGATTCCAGTTTGTGTCAAGTTGACCGAAACCAACCAGCACAGCTGAGTCCTTGTCAACTTGACACACAAACACATCACTATTGGACCATAACCTTTCCTTTTTTGTTCATCCCTGAGATCTCATGTTAATATCATGTTATAAAAGAGAGGGGCTGGAGAGCTAGCTCAGAAGTTAAGAGTACTGGCTGCTTTTACAGGGGAACCAGGTTCAGTTCCCAGGACCCACATGGCAGCTAACAGCCATCTTTAACTCCAGTTTCAGGGGATCTGATGCCCTCTGGCCTATTTGGGCACTACGTGCACGTGGTACACTTACATACATGCAGGCGCAACATCCATACACATAGAATAAAAAAAAAACAAAAAAACAGAGTCTGACTTTAAAAGTCCATCACTTAAAAGTTCAACATCTCTTTAAAATAATCTGGAGCCTCTTAACTGTGTCTCCATCTCCTGGAAGCCCTTTTGACCTTTTATTATCTAGGGTAGATCCTAGGTCCCCTGTACCGATAGGATGAACTCTTCTGTGTGTCACTTCCCTGACCCTCACCACAGCCTTGCTGTGGGGAGTCCTCCAGGGCTTCAGTTGGGGTAGACTCCAGAAGATGCAAGGTGGGTGTAGGATGAGATGGAAGGCAGACTGTGGGGTCTTCCAAGTTCCTAGGGTCTGTGGACCCAGCTTTGGATAGTCAAGTCTTGACTCCTGTCCACTGCCTCTGGGGCCTGGTCTCCCGGCTGGATCACAGATTCCTTCTGTTCCTTATGACAACAGCTGGAAGGCAACTAGAAGGTCCACCCTGAAGACCAGCACTTCATAGGGAAGGTCAAAGGCCAGGGTGCCCTCTGTGACACTCGTCATAAACTGTGTCATCTGTGTGATCATCACCGAGACAGCTTCCCATGAGCAGCTCCCTGCCTTCCTCGGATCCCCGAGTGAGTGCTGTTCTGCTCAGGGTATAGACAGGCCATGCTTGCTTTGTGCTCCATTTCTGGATGGCTAGAAGATATACTTGGAGAGCTTGACTGTGGCAGCCTTCACGAAAGTAAAATGGAGTAAAACAGACGAGGGGACGTCAGCGTGTGCGGTGTGCAGAGTGGGTGAGCTTGTGAAGTTTTGACATAGGGCAGATTTGTAAGTAAAGCCTCGGAACACCTGGCAGAGGTGTGAAGACCTGTGTCTAACAGCACGTGGCACAAAGCCTGGAGGGGCCTGCTGGATGCTTCACACTAGAGTGGAAAGGAAAACCAGGGATGGGTACAGCTTACAGATTGGGCCTGGCACTAACAGACCACCCTTAATACAGACATTAGGGACACAGCTCAGTTACAAAGCTTCCTTAAAGATTAGAGGGAATTGAATGAACTCTGGGGTTAGTTTTATATTATACACACACACACACACACACACACACACACACACACACACACACGTGCACCTGAGCCTTTAATTACTGATTGAGTCAGGAAGGACCTGGTTCGAGGTCTGGGGATAGCTGTTTCAGGAGGACAGAGTATTATGGGCTAGTTTTAGACACCCCACCCCCCTTGGGAAACTTTGTAATGGCCCCCTCTGATACTTCATCCAGGCAAGTCTGGATAGTTGAGTCTTCTTTATTTGTTGACTTGGCTCTGCATTGCCTAGGGCAATGTCCATGTACCCACAGGGCTCTTCCAGGCCCCCAGTTTCCCCTCCGTTCCTCTCTCCTCATGTCCACCCCTCTCTTCTCTTCCCCACTGAGCCCATAGCATCACAGCTCATGTTGATCTTGCGTACCTCATTTATTCACTCAGTAAATAGTCATTGAACTCCCGATGGCACTCCAGACATGCAGAGCTCAGAGCCTTGTAGGGCAAACAGCCGTAGAGTAAGGACAAAAATAAATAGGAGATACCACTGAGAAGCACTACAGCATCGAGAGCCTCCTGTAGGGTAGTTTCACTTAAATAGGATGATCTGGGACGGCTTCTCTGAGGAGGAGACTGTAGGGCTGGGAGGTGAGGTGGATGAGGGGGTTGGGCAGGAGGTAAGGTGCAAAGCTGGAATTCCAGGTTTCTTGCTGCAAGTGTGAAGGCCCTGGGCCAGAAAGAGCTGATAAATTTGATAAGTTAAGGTGCAATGGCCTGAGGGTGGAGTTGTAGCAAATTGGACCTCGAGGAAAAGTTGCTGTGGGGCTAGTTTTGGTCTTAAAATATGATAATGCTAGGGTTAGCTGGTCTATCTGAAGTGATGGAAATCTTTAGATAGAGTATGGAGGTGGGGGGTGGTACAGGGTTAGGGTACATGAGCAGGCATCTGTTTTGACATGTTCCCCCTTGGCTATTGCTTGGGAAGCAGTTTTGGGTGGGGCTGGTGGCCCAGCAGGGACATTGGCTTTTCCTCTGTCATCAGCAGACAGCTCAGCTGCCTTGGGCTGCCCTCCTAGGACCCCTCCTCTTCTTGCTTCCCGCCATGGGTCTAGTACATACCGTGTTTTGACTCCTACCATCTCCCGAAGCTGTGTCACCAAAGCAGTTCTCTTCTCTGGCCCTCGCTCCATCTCTTACTCCTTCCTGACCTTAACCACATGTCCATTCTGCTTTTATATTTACTACAAGTTTAAGTAAGAGGGAGATAGTGCAGGGTGTTCGGGTGTATCAAGGGAAACTCCCCAGAATAGGAAAACAGAACAGTAGTCAGTGGAGACCCTCAAGTTTCCTATGCCAGGGAGATGAGATGCATGTTCCAGAGAGCTGAGAAAAGGCCATAGGGCAAGATGGTGTTCATATTGAAGAACAGGTTTTGTTCCCCTCCATGCCCCCCACTTCTCTCTCCATGCTTATGTAGGTGGGTGCCCATGTGTGCATGCATATGGCGGCCAGAGCTAACCTTGGGGTCATTCTTTTTTTTTTTTCTGGTCTTTTTGACACTGGGTCTCCCTGAAGCCCCAGCTTATTGGAACTTGCTATGTAGACCAGGCTGGCCTCGATCTCACAGAGATCCACTTGCCTCTGCCTCCCCAGTGCTAGGATTAAAGGCATGCGCCACCACACCTGGCTCGTGGGTGTCATTCTTTAGGCTGTCATCCACTTTGTTTTCTTGAGACAGGGTCTCTCACTTTTTCCTGGAGCTTGCCAATTTGGCTAGGCTGACAGGCAAGCAAACCCAGGGAACCCTCCCGGCTCTGCCTCCCGGTGCTGGGATTACAAGCATCTATCATACCCAGCTTTTCTATCTGGGTTCTGCAGATCCACCTCAGGGTTTCCTTGTACAGTAAGCACTTCACTGACTGAGTCCTGTCTTCAGCTCAAGAATCAGTTTTGGAGGATCAGTGAGAGCCAGTGAACCCACAGCTCTGCATCAGTGATTTAAACTCAGATGATGTCAGGATGGAGTGCGGAGAGAGGGATTATAATCAATACTTGGTAGGCCAGAAGAAAAGCCCCAGCTCCATGCAGGTAAAGAGGTAGATCCCACAAACCGCCCTGGTGAAAAAAATTCCTGTAAGAAATCTTTCAGACAGTAGACACCTAAGGTTGTGTTGAGTGGTACCTGCAGAGGTGGCTGTGGCGAGCTTCCAGATAGGGGAGATCTGACCTTTCCCAGGATTCTCTCCAGTGTGTGACTTTACTCTCCAGGAAATGGACTGCAGAGGGAGAGCTGATCTAGGCAGCTGGTTAAAGGTCTAATTTGCAATCATTTTCTCATGTTTGTTCTGTGGCAAGGCACGTCCCCAACCCTGATAAGTCACCAAGGAGACAGGAACAAGGTATCACGACCTCACATCCCCAGTCACAGGTGTGGCTGAGGGCCCGCCAGCAGCTGAACTTGTGCTTAGGTTTGGTGTCACCTGCTTCATTTAAAGGTCAAGATGTGGCTCAGTGTTTGCCTGGCATGCCTGAGGCATGGGGTTTGTTCCCAAGCACCACATAAACCAGGTGTGGTGCCTCAAGCCTGCAATTCCAGCACTCGGGAGCCAGAGGCAGGAAGATCAGAAGTTCAAGATCATTCTCAAGACCAATCTGTGATATGTGAGACCCTGCCTCAAAAAAATAAAAAAAATTAAAAAAAGAGCAATATCAAACGCAAACTCCCCACTTGCTGCCTGTAAGTGTGGCTTCAAGGTAGGGCTGGGTCTGCATGCCTGTGAGTGTCCTGCTCCTCAATCCCAGGGCAGTGGGTACCATTCATAGAGACTGGGTTTGGAGTGCAATGGTCTGCGCTTTGCAGGGGAAGACATTCTGCCTCTACAGGAGTTCCCTACCATACCAGAGCTGTCTGGGCTCCCGAGCTGCCAGGGCTCCCGGGGCAAAGCGACTCTCACCCACCCTGTCCTCCAGCCCTGTGGCTTTGCCCAGATACCACCCTTCTACACTGCCAGCTGAGTGTGGGTGGGGCTGGCAGGCAGGCTGGTCTCCTTCATTCAGTGTAAGTCACGGTGCATGGGTCGAGCTGGCTCCTCTGGAGTATTTCATTTCTATTTCCTTCTGGAGGCTTTTTGCTATTTATTTATTTTATTATTTTTTTGTTATGTTTTGTTTTGAGACAGGGTCTCCCTGTAGCCCCAGGTGGCCTGGAACTCACTATGGAAACCAGGTTGGCCTCTATCTCACAGAGATCTGCCTGCCTCTGCTTCCCTGAGTTCTGGGAATAAAGGCATGCGCTGTCACACCCAGCTTCACAGACCCTATTTTATCTTTTTTTTGTTTATTCATTTATTATTTATATTTTAATTGAATTTTTGCAAATTGCATACATTTTTGATCATATTTAGACCTCTTCTGCCTGTAACCCCCTGATAGCACCCCACTGAATTTTATGTACTCTGTCATATATTATGGCCTATTGAGTCAAGTTTGTGTCTCCAAATGTCCTTGGGTGAACCTATCTAATGTCACATCCTTAAAGAAAGCTGACTCTCCCTCACCCAGCAGTTATCAGTTGCCTACAGCTCCTCAGCTCAGGTTAGAGACTCTGCCCCACTCCCCCACTTTTATGTTGGGATTTGTCTGGCTTGAGCTGGCTTGGGTCAAAAGACCCTATTTTGTTGTTGTTTGTTCTTTTTGAGACAGGGTCTCCCTGTAACCCTAGCAGGTCTGGAACTTGCTATGTAGACCAGGCTGGCCTGGATCCCATAGAGATCTATCTGCCTCTGCCTCCCAAGTGCTGGGGTGTTGGGGCTGGAGAGATGGCTCAGTGGTTAAGAGCACTGACTGCTCTTGCAGAGGACCAGGGCTGCATCACCAGCACCCACATGGCGGCTACAAACCGTCCTTAACGCTAGGGATTCCAGGGGAATCCGAAGTCCTCTGACCTCCGCGGCATTGTGGGACACAGGTGCACTCACATACATGCAGGCAATACACTCATGCACATAAAATAAAAATAATAAAAATAAAAATAAGGTCAGGTTATCTCCTGACACTTAAAAAAAAAAAGACCCTATTGTTAAAGGTCACATTCTGAGGTTCTGGTGATCATGAACTTCAGTGAACCGTGTTCAAGTCAGTGCTGTCCAGCTAGGGGAGGTCGCGGAAAGAGGCTCTTGCAGTGGCTTTGTGCCTACCAGCAGCTCCTGTCTACTGAGGGTGCCTCAGCAAGAACTTTTCAAATGGACACGCAAGCATCCCAGCTCATAAATACAGCGGGTTAAACTGCACCACTGATTCATGTCGATGAATTCATTTACCATCTTGAACGACTGGTTGTATTCCAGCTTCTGGCTCCAGTAATCGTATCATAGAAGGTCCCCAGAATGCAACAGTCCTGAAGGGCTCGGAGGCTCGCTTCAACTGCACCGTGTCCTTGGACTGGAAGCTCATCATGTGGGCTCTCAAAGGTGTCGTAGTGGTGAGCCTCACGCCTCAGGAGCCCATCATCACAAACAACCGCTTCACCTCTGCCAATTACAGCGTGGATGGCAACTTCGTCTCGGAGATGATCATCCACGACGCACAGCCCAGCGACTCGGGGCCCGTGCAGTGCAGCCTCCAGAACAGCGACCTGTTCGGAACTGCCTTCCTTTCCGTGCAAGGTGAGTCTGCAGCTGGAGGGAGGCAAAGGACCATCTGAGGCTCATGGCTGTGTGAGGACACCTGGGGTCCACCTTCAGGTGTTGTGTCTATAATTCTGAACTGATGACTGATTAGTGTGCATTTGTTAAGTCCCCCCCATCTCTGTATCATTTCTTCTTCCCTTCATACACAATCTAGTGTTCATTTATATTATTTATTATTCTCAACATTCTGAACTCTGTGTTATGTCTCTCCACACGTCCTGCCTTTCTCTTCTTTTCTTCTTGTTTCTCTCCCTTTCCCTGTATCCTTTTCTTCCCTCCCTCCCTCTCTCTTCTTCCCTCCCTTCTCTCTCTCCCTCCCTCCCTCCTCTCTCTCTTCCTCCCTCCCTCCCTTGCCCCCACCTTCCTTTTTTTTCTTTCCCAGTTTATCACTCTCCCATCTGATCTTCTCCAGTGTCTAGTTGCTGTTCTGGAACAATCTGGACTTCTTCCTTGTCAGTTGCCCCTCTGATCTGGAGACAGCTGAAGGTCACTGCCCTGCCTCCAACTTTTTGTATTCTTGATTCTCCTTCCTATACATTATTGGTGTGGAAGAATGCTTTAACTCTTTTCTCTTTCTGAATTTCTCTAATCCATTTTTATCCCTGCTCAGTGATGGTAGTTGTTATAATCACAGGTGTGTTCTTTGAATACAACAGATACTTGAGAGAAAAGGGTAGACAAAGCCTAAGCTACATGGCAGCTTACTTGCTTGTGTAGAGGTAGTTTGATCTCTGTACATTATTACATAGTGATGAAGGTCAAAGACTGTGTTTTAGGAGGCTCTGGATAGTGTCATCAAAATTTAACCACTTGACACTTTTTAAAAGTGTATTTATACTACTCCTAGAGGTGCTGGACCTGTTAGATTATAATTTCCTATCCTCTCTCTCTCTCTCTCTCTCGCTCGCTCGCTCTTGCTCTCGCTCTCACTCTCTCTATTTACCCAGTTATCTAATCTATCAATCATCTATCAATCATCTATCTATCAATCATCTATCTATCATCTATCATCTATCTATCTATCATCTATTTATCTATCATCTCTCTCTATATCATTTATCATCTATCTATCATCTATCAATCAATCAATCATTTATCTATCTATCATCTATCATCTATCTATCTATCTATCATCTATCTATCTATCTATTTATCTATCTATCTATCTAATCTATCATCTATCTGTCATCTATCTATCTATCTATCTATCTATCTATCTATCTATCTATCTAATCTATCATCTATCTATCTATCTGGCAGTGCTAGGGATCACACTCAGTGCTTTGCCCTTGCTAGATGAGCTCTCTCATTGAGTCATGCCCTAAATCCCCTGAAGTTCTATCTTCTATGAGACTTTTTCATGTGAACATGCTATGTCTTTGAGATTATTTATTTATTCATCATTGAATTTTTGTGAATTTCATGATACGTCTTGACTACATTTAGTCCCCCTCCCCTATCTGCACCTCTCCGTATTCCCACATTTAGTCCCCCTCCCCTATCTGCACCCCTCCATATTCCCACATTTAGTCCCCCTCCCCTAGCTTCACCCTCTCCATATTCCCACATTTGGTCCCCCTCCCCTAGCTGCACCTCTCTGTATTCCCACATTTGGTCCCCCTCCCCTAGCTGCACCCCCTCCATATTCCCACATTTAGTCCCCCTCCCCTAGCTGCACCCCTCCATAGTCCTACATTTAGTCCCCCTCCCCTAGCTGCACCCCCTCCATATTCCCACATTTGGTCCCCCTCCCCTAGCTGCACCTCTCTGTATTCCCACATTTAGTCCCCCTCCCCTAGCTGCACCTCTCTGTATTCCCCTGCACTGGATTGCATGCATTCTGTCATATATGTAAGGCCTATCAAGTCAAATTTGTGTCCTCAAATACCCCTGGGTGTGAGTCTATCCATGGAGCCTGGGCAACCTATCTAGCTAGCGTCACTCACTTAAGGAAGAGTTTATGAGGTTATTTTGTATGTCCATGTATTTCATTGCCTCAGTGAAATCTCCTGTCTATGGCCAAATCAGCTGCAATAATTTCTGGTAGCAAAGCATAGCTACCTGTTTCTATTTGCATTTTAAATGATTTTTTATTTCATAAAGTGAATTAAATTGGTGGGTCTTTAGGATGTCTTTAATTTTGTGTGATTTGATTAGTGGTATAGTGATATTTTCCAAGTAATTTTCATGGGGCTGCCTAGGACTCTTAGCCTAGTTTGCATGCCCAGGTTCTCTGAGAATAGTCAGTTATAATGGAAAGAACACAGGAAACAGAGTCACAGACATGAGCTCTGGTTTTGCCTTCATCGCTTATCTACAAGGGAGATCCCCAAGGTGGCTCACTTTCTTCATCTTTAAAATGGGCGTGCGGCTTCCCGGCCTAGCTCCCAGGTTCAGGCTCCCATTCCATCTTTGTCACTAAGGAAAGGCATGCTTTGGGACAAAGTACACAGTGACTTCATTTCCTGGGCTGCTGTAGCACCGGACGAGGATTCTGTGGAAAGCTTTTAGCAGTGTCTGGCTACAGCAGTTGCTGTGTGATCTTTTGTTTCATTCAAAATGGAAGCATACTGCAATTCTAGGCATTGAGTAAGACTCAAAGATGATAGCAGAGAGCTGGGGGAATAGCTCACTTAGTAAAATGCAGCATGAGGGCCTTAATCTGATTCCCCTAGAACTTGTGTAAATGAGCAGTGTGTGTCTGAAATCCCAGCTCTGGGGACATCGAGACAGGTGATCCCTGGGGCTTGCTGGTCCACCAGCCTAACCAAATTGGTGAGCCCCAGGCTCAGTGAGAGACCTTGCCTCAAAAAATAAGATGGGAAGAGATAGAAGAAGACACCAGACATCAACTTCTGGCCTCTACATGCGTGTGTACAGATGTACATGTGCATCTGCACACACACGCACGCACACACACACACACACACACACACACACACACACACACATACAAACACACACATAAACACAAGGCACAATCCCTGTCTTCAAGAAACAGTAGAGGGCTGGGGAGATGGCTCAGTGTTTAAGAGCACTGACTGCTCTTGCAGAGGACCGGGTTTGAGTCCCAGCACCCACATGGTGGCTAACAACCATCTGTAACTCCAGTTCAAGAGGAATCCAACACCCTCTTCTGACCTCCAAAGGCATTGTATAACATGAGTGCACTTACATACATGCAGGCAACATACTCATACACATAAAAACAATAAATAAAATGAAGAAGAAGCAGTAGAAAAACAGGTATTACAAGTTGCAGAATTAGAGAACAGTGGATTCTAACAAGTGTAGGGAAGGGAAGCGGCCTAGGTTTCCACAGGAAGGCCTAGACAGGCCCTCCAGGCGGCACCCTGGAGACCCAATAGGAAATGAGCCTTTAAGGTCTGGTGATGGCAGGCAGAATGTGGAAGCAAGAGAGGATGAGGGCAGTCCTGCACCAAAGAAACACAGACTGAAAGGCAGGGCATCTTAACGTCACACTCAGAACATGGCCAATCGAAAAGCCTACAGTTCTTCTGTATCTTTTTCCATGGCTGTAAGTCTATAAATTTGTCTGAATACCTCTAACATTCATTTGTATGTGTTGGTAGTTAGTGTAGCTTTTGTTTTAATACAGAGAGAACAAGTATCTATGGACTTCAAAGCCTTTCCACCATCTTGTACAAGGAGCCCATAGACTGGGACACAGCTCCATTGGTTCACCCCGATTCCACTGAGCCGATGTCACATGAACCTTTCAGCAACAGGTTCTCCCTAGGAAAATAATCTTGAAAAAAAAGAGGAAATGCCCTCGAATTTCCCAATGATGATTACTTTTCTTCCTGATGCTTCAATAAGGAAAATAAAGAGAGCTGGAGTAAGTCCAGTTGAAGTCATCTTGAATCTCAGATCTAGGCAGATACTCTGGAGATTATTTTTCATAATGTGTTTGTCATGACACTGGATAGCCTTTGTGAAAGCCAACAGGGGAAAGTTGAATCCCAACAGTACACAGAAAGAGAATGTGCTTCACGTGGCTGTGCTGGTGCAGTCAGCCAGCTCCTCACATGTGCTCAACACCTTTTGCTTTATGAGAGCCAAAAGGACCTGATCTCAAGGTCTTCTGTTACTATCTGAGGTAGTTTCATCCCTCCAAGGGCATATTATCCTCAAAGAAATCATTTTTTACATTTATTTATTTAGTATGTATCCTAGTTTGGGTTTTGTTGTTGTGATAAAACACTGACCAAAAACAACTTGGGGAGGAAAGGGTTTATTTATCTAGGACACAATCCATCACTGAGGGAAGTCAGGACAGAACTCAAGACAGGAACCTGGAGGCAGGAGCTGAAGCAGAGACCATAGAAGAACACTGCTTACTGGCTTGCTTCCCTGGGCTTGCTTGGCTACCCTCCTTATACAGCCCAGGCCAACTGCCTAGGGATGGCACTGCCCACAGGGCACTGGGTCCTTCTACATCTAAAATTGGCAAACAAGAAAATGCCTCACAGACAGTCAAGGCCAGTTAGATGGAGGCAATTCTCCCACTGAGGTACCCTTTCTCCAGGGTGTCTCTAGTTTGTATCAAGTTCTCATCCATGCACAGTTGCCCTGATCTTGGCCTAGCAGCCGTACCTTACTTGTTGCAAGATAACATTCAGGAAAGGAATAATTGGAAGGACGATCTCAGAGCGAGACCTGCTCCTGCTCTCCGGCACTCCTGGTATTCCTTGGACCCTTGTGGGTGGTCCGAGGACGTGACTTCTCACCAGGATGCCAGGACACTAACAGCCTTTTTCACTCTTTGCTGACAAGTGCACAGGGGCGCTTTCTGTTGTACACGGGGAATTTCCTTAACTCAAGGGACCAGCGTTTTCAAAAGGACCCAGTGTAATGAGAAGAAATCATGAGAGGGTAAAAGATCAAGGCAGAGTGCCAAAGGTAGAGCCTTGGTGAGAGAGAAAATGAAAGTTCTTCAAAATAAGTTTAGGCTT